CTTTCTTGTGCCAGCCTATTGGCAGAATCCAAGAAAAACTCATGCAACAAACTCATCCAGGGGCTATACTGAATTTCCATGTGAGGAGTCAAGGATAGTCAAGGATGTCACCTAGGTTTCCAGCCTGGGTGACTGCAAGAATGGTGATGCCCTTGGCACTAATAGTGAAATTTGGAAAGGGAGAGGGTTTGAGGGGAAAGATAGTGAGTTCAATTTTGAATATGCTGAGTTTAAGATGTCCAGTAGGCAGCTGGAGATTGAAACTGGAAGTCTTGAGAGAGTTTAGGGCTGCATAAGTAGATCTGAGAATCATCAGCATAGAAATCATTATTGAATCCATGGGAGCCAATGAGATCAACAATACCATAATAAAAGTCTATTGACTTATGCATGTTTTTGAGGCAATCAGGGTTAAGTGACTTGCCCAGGGTCACATAGCTAGTAAATGTCTGAGGCCAGATTTGACCTCAGATCCTCCTGACTCCAGGGCTGATGCTCTATCCACTACACCACCTAGCTGCCCTGATTTATGCATTTTTAAAGGAGTTAATTGATATTAAATGGTTATATGGAATTGGAGTGTTAGTCACAAATGGAACTAGAGTTTTTGTGAGAGAATATAATAGAAACAATGTGGAGGTACTGAAGGTTCTTAAGCAAGGAAGTAATGTGATCAGATCAGTGCTTTAGTAATGGCTGTTGGGCAGCCAGATGGAGGATAGGCTGGAGAAGAGCATAGCTTGAGGTGGGCACAATTGAGGATGTTACAATGGTACAGGTGAAGAGGATATGGATTGAATAGAGAGGCTGGTGGTCCTGTTAGTGGAGAGGAGACAGCTGAGGATTACTCTGAGGTTATGAACCTGAGTGACTTGAATGAATGAATGGATGAATAAAAAAACATTTATTAAGTCCTTACTAAGAGCCAAACATCTTGGCAAGCTCTGGGGATACAAATAGAGAATCTAGAGGTGTCTTTGCTCTCAAAGAGTCCACATTGTAACTGGAGGTAACAACACAAACACACATACACAAATACATATACACACATACATATATAGAGATGTATAATCATATAAACATATTATACATTATACCTGATTATTTGCATATAGATGCATATAATATATAACATATTATAAATTATAAAAGTGTATGTGTTTGTATATGTATATGTTTATATGTGTGTATAAATGTAAAATATGTGTATAGACATATACACACACATATATATATACATATATATATATGTATATATATACACACACATACATACACACATATACATAAGCATGCACACATATACTCATAGCTACAGGGCACATGGAAAAGCCCAGAAGTCCTAAGAATACTACAGTGGGGTGGAAATGTATATTGGCAGGTCAGATGGCAATGCCCAGGGAGTTGGAGGGTGGAGTGGTACGGTAGATGGTTAGACCTAGAGAAACTCAGGATCTGGTAGCAGGGCAGATGCCAAGACCTGATAGTCCTCCATAGTCATAGAAGGGTGGTGGTAGTTAGTGACTTCCAGCTCATTTATTTGGTGTGAGCAGTCATGGTGCTTTTCTCACCTGTTTGCCCTATTGGGTCGGGGAAGGAAATGGGGGATGGGTGCCTCTGCTGGTGTTTCTTCCCACCTTGTTGCCCCATGGGGGGGGGGATGGGGGAACATGGGAGAAGCAACTTTGAAAGACCTAGGAACTCTGATCACTGCAGTGACCATCCACAATTCCAGAGGACCAATAAATATTCTCAATAATAATCATAACTAGCATTTATATAGCACTTTAAGATTTACAAAACACCTTACAGACATTTCATTTTATCCCTGCAGCAATCCTGGGAGGTAGATGCTATTATTATTCCCATTTTATAGATGAGGAAATTGAGGCAGACAGAGATTGAGTGAGTTGCTCAGGGTCACATAGGTATAGCAAGTATTTGAGGCCAAATATGAACTCAAGTCTTCCTTATTCCATGTCCAGTGCTCTATCCATTGCATCGCCTAGCTGCCTCATAATGAAGCATGCTACCCGTCTCCTGACAAAGAGGTGATTGATTCAGGGTGCAGGATAGATTTTTTGGACATGGTCTCTATGGGAATGTGTTTTGCTTAACTATGCATATTTGTTGCAAGGGTTGGTTGCTTTTTTTTTTCCTATGTGGTAGAGGGAAGTGGGAATAGACAGAACACAGACTTGGGGTAATTAAAACAAATAAATAGAATTGGAAAAAGTGGACAGTTCTACATTTTTTAGAAAATAAGGAAAAGAATGGTAGAGCCCTCAACAGAAATAGGGAAAATTGGAGGAAGGATTGGTTGGGGTGGGGGAAGGAGAGTTCGATTTTGTATAGATTTGGGAGCCATCTGTATAGAGATGATAATGGAACCCACTGGAGCTGATGATATCATCAAGAAAGAGGGCAAAGGGAGAAGAAAAGAGGACCCAAGCCAGAGCTTTAGAAGAGACCCAAATTTATCAGGTGGGATAGAGGCAATGACCCAGCAGGGTCAAATTAACAATATTTATGAATGGAGGAGACTTGAGCTCGTTTATAGGCAGTGGGGAAGGAGCCAACAAATGGAGAACATAGAGAAGAGAGAATGATCAAAGACACAAACCCCCAAGGATTGAGAAGGGATGGAATCAAAGACACAAGTAGAAAGGTTAGCTTTGGTGAGGGGAAGGGTAGTCCGGAGACCAGTGCAAAGTAGGAAATATATGAAGGAGTTGTGTGTGTGTGTGTGTGTGTGTATATATGGGTTTTTAGGTATGGTGTAGAAATGAATGAATTTGTGATGGATGGCTTCAATTTTCTTAGTTGAATGGAAGGTTAAGTAGTCTGTTAAGACATTGAGGTAGGGGAAATCATTGTACATTAGGAAAAAGGAAAATGTTTGGAATAGCTGCATCATAAAGAATGTTGTAGAAATGATATCAGGTAAGAATAAAAGGATTTTAGTAGTAGTGAGGGCTCAATTGAGGTTAGGTAACATGAATTTGTAGAGAATCCAGGCAGCATATTAATGTGACTTCCAATGACATTTATGTGGCTGGATATAAGGTAATAATAATAGCTAAAATTTATGGAGCTTAATTATATAACTTTATTGCAAAGTATTTTACATATGTTCATTTTGTTTGATAGTCACAACAACTCTAGGAGGTTAAGTGCTATTATTATCTCCGTTTTACAGATGACAAAACTGAGGCTGAGGTCAGTGAAGTGTCTTGATCAGGGTTACACAGCTAGTAAGTGTCTAAGGCAGGATTTGTACTAGCACAGTGGATAGAGTATTGGGCTTGGAGTCAGGAAGACTGAGTTCAAATCTGCCCTCAGACACTTACTAACTGTGTGACCTTGCTCAGGTCACTTAACCCTGTTTGCCCCAGTTTCCTCATTTGCAAAATAAGCTTGATAAGGAAATGGCAAACCATTCTAGTGTCTTTGCCACGAAAAACCCAAATAGGTCACAAAGAGTTGGACATGACTGTGAAACAACTGAGCGACAACAACTTCCCAACTCCAAATCCAATGCTCTTTCCATTTTGCTATAGCTAGACAGCTAGCATGCCCCTCTTATTTTCTCTTCTTTAGTTGAAATACTTCTAACCTTCAACTGATGCTGATAAGGACCTGGTAGGTATCAGGTAGATACCTGTCCAGGAACTGAGAAGGTGGAGGACAGTGGTGACCCATAGTCGAGGTTCGGCAAAACATGAATAATAGAAAAACAAGGAACAGGTGACTCTAGTGGTAGATATTGCATAGTTGATTTGGCTAATTGTAAAAGCAAGACTGAATGGAACCCAGTGGAGCCAGAACAAGGATGATAGGGTGGGAGAACAGGGAAGAACTGAGGACTAGAGGTCAAGATGTGGAATGAGTTTAGAAAAACAAGGTATAGAAAGAATGAGGCAGAGGGGGAAATGGAAGAAGAGATTTCAGGAAGGTTTGGGGTGATAAGCAAGCCCAGATTGTGATTTTCCCTGGGGTTGGTTATGAGGGAATTGAGGGAACTGAGTGAATCACACTGACTCCATCTTGTGACTCAATTTTGGAGCTAGCTCAGTTTTCTTCAATTATGGGCTCAATTAAGGGTCTAGTCCAATTTCTGTCTTGTGAGAGAACTTTATTTAATTATGGGGATTGTCAGAAAACGTTATATTGTTTGAACCTCGCCCTATGTGGCTGGAAAGCTAGTCTACCTCTACCTGTTGCTTAGAGAGTTTTACCTAAGGACCTAGGTTATGCTGACCAAGAAACCCAGTCAGATCCAAAGATTGATGTAAGGAGTTTTCTCACAATTCTATATCTCAAGCAATCTGAAAATTGGCCCCATGTTGGCCGATCAGTTATTCTTTCCATGTTCCTTTGATTCTTTCCATCTTCCTTTGATTGAATAGATACTTGAGGAGAGGAGGGTGACACCTCTTTTTCTGATTTCAGGGAATTGTACCTGTTTGTTCCTCCCTCCTAACTTGGAAATCCCCTAATCTTTCCTCCAATTTGAATTCAGATTGCCTAATTTTGTATCCTGTTAATTATTTTCTTTTAATTAATTGGTCTTATTTGATTAGTTCTTTTTAATACATAAAAATTGAGCTCACTCTGTATTCAGGATCTTTGGACTGACTGGGAAGTCCATTGCCCTGTTTATGATGCCTGTTTTGCTAATAAATCATATAGTTCAGATTGTTTCCTCAATTATTATTAATTGTCCACCACAGTTTTGGTATATTGGAAGTTGACAAACTGGCAAGCTAACAAGTAGTGTGAATATTGAAGAATGAGGGCAGGCACTCAGCTGAGTCAGGTACTGAATTCTGAGAAAAGAGGGAGAGATATCTGAGGGCCAGTAAATGATAGCAATGAGGAGCTGGACAGAGTGATAAATATGGATGAAGTTCTGGGGATAGGTTGCTGATAGTGGCAGAGGGAGTGTCTGGAAGTTACACTGGGGAATAAGTAATATACCAACTCTTTTTCCTAACCAGGTGTGCCTCAGGAGGTGGTGATGATGAAGAAAAGAGCAGTCAGCATTGGAAGTGGTCTGAGAATGAAGTGTCATCTAGAGAAAGACAGGCAGTACCTGTGATGAAAATGATAGATACTTGAAGTACTAAACTATTGAGTCAGTATGGCATCCCAAGAATAGATTGTGCCAGGTTAAGCTTATCTAATGTTTGGAGTGGGAAGTACCACACCAGTACTACCATTCAACATCACAGAACCCTGAAAGGTAGAAGCCCCAATCAGTTGGCACTTCCCCAGTCCCATGGCTAGCAAATTGCCACGATTCCCCTAATCTCCACGATTCAGATGAAAATCACTTTCTGTTACTTATCCCATTTTCTTGTCCTCATCCATTACAACTCTATTCTTCCCCAGTCTCTTTAATCCTCTGCCTTCCAGTATCCTGATTTCCATGAATATTTCTCCCCATCCAAGATCCTTCTTTTCACATTTCCATCTTCTTATGCTCACAGAAATCCTAGTCTCTCTTGAAGACACTGCATCCCTGACCATCCTGTCTCCCCATCCAGGGCTAGTTGCTTCTTTTCACATTGGGCCAAGCAGAATCAGCATATTCCATATTCCTCATTGCCACTTTCAGATTCTACCTTTGCCAGAATCACTTAGCAACCTCTTTGAGATTTGTCCCATCTACTTTGATCATCCTGTCCCAATCCTTGTTGCCATCATCAGCTGATCCTCAGGTCACCTTTTCTCTCTTTTTTGTGGTATCTTCTTCATCACTAAAATTTAGTCTTTGCTTTTACTGCAATTTCTAGGACTGACACCCCATCCCTTTATTCCAGGCAGCTTCTTTGCTCTGGCTTCACTTTCCTACCTTAAGAGTTTTGACCCTATAGCCAATTTGACTGTATGCTATACACCTACTGACTACCTTGCCCCCTTGCCTTTCCATCATTTCCTCCATCCATTCTTATTTTGGGATATCTCCATGTTCTCCACTCCTAGAAGCAATGTGGAGCTGATGAAGATTTTGGCAGTTGTGTGGATGATGGATTTAATGGGGGAGACTATAAGCCGGGAGATCAGCTAGGAAGCTAATACATTAGGTGAGAGGTAATGAGGCCTGAACTAGGGATTCAATTTGTTGTGTGTGTCCTGAGGGCAGAACTAGAAGCAACAGGTAGAAGTTGTAGATTAGATTGCCTCTGAGGTCCCTTCCAATTCATGTCTAAGCAAGGATTCCCTCAGACACTGTCAACAAGTGATCATTCAGAGATCTCTAGTGGGGGAAACTATACCACTTGAGGCTTCCCTTTCCAGTTTTGGATCACTGGAATTAGTAGGATTTTTTTTTTTATACACCAGCCTTTATGTATCTTGTATCCATTTCTCTTCATTCTGCCCTCTGGGCCCAAGGAGAACAAGAAACAGCCCTTCAGGCACTTGACAGCTATCATGCCTCTCTTTTTTTCTTTTTTAGTTGAAATTCTCTAACTTTCAACTGATGCTGATATAACATGATCTCAAGGTCCTTTATCTTCTTGGTCACTCTCCCCTGAACACTCTCTATGCCCCTTCTAAAATTTGATGCCTATAACTAAACATAGTACCCCAGATGTGATTCCCACCAGGATAGAACAGTGAGATTATTACCTCCTTTGTTCTACATGAAATCACTATGAGTAGCATACTACACTCCCAAATGGACTTAAGGTGTGTTATTGTTCTGGAAAGTAGGTGATATTTATTTAGTAAACACTTTTATCAGTTATATAGTATGAATAATATTAAAGTCTTCATACTATATACGGGACAGAAGTTAGTACATACAGGATACACAATATTTTAAAAATGTATCCAGTCTTGATTTATTCAACTCTTCCTTCATGGAGTGGAGAATGAGGGTGATAGTATTTGAGAGGGGATAGTAGTAAGATGAGCTTCAAGAGATTCTCACTAAAACACTAGCCAACATTTCCCCAGTCATTTCTAAGCAGTCTAACATCTGCTTGATCAGTAAGCCTATAATTCTCTTTAGCTACAAAGATGTATATTATTACAGGCTACTTTTGGATAGTGCTAATTGTTATTTAGCCACTTGTGTCTCAGTGGAGAAAGCAACATAAAGATCATTTCTCGCACCAAACCGGGCACCCTTGGATTTATCCAAGATGAGGGCAGTGGCAGGACTTCTTGGAATTTCCTGGAAGGCCTTTCTTTGGTTCTTTTAATATTATGGAGATGCCAGTATAACACTTGGACTGTCTTTGCTCTCTAATCTGCTTAAAGGCCGATGGATCCCTTCCAGCTGCCTTACCATTGCTCATGGAAGCTGTTTCACTTGGCTCTAATTCAGACATAGAATGAATGGTTTCCTAGCTTTGGAAATGTAATGCCTAACATTTTTACAATCCCATTCTATAACATCACGAAAGCCTTTAAGGAACAGATGTTAATTTCTACTATTTCTAACTGCCTCAGGCTTCAGCGGGGAAATCTCCAGTTGGGGGATCATGGAGCATGAGCAGTAGAAAGTTTTGTCTCCTTCAAAGCTATATCATTGTCCATAACAGGGATCTGTAAATATAGATTCAGGCTGTCCCTTATTCACTCTTGGAGCCTGGGTATTCTCCCCAAAGTAGTCCCTCTGGTTAGATTGATCCTCCAGGGCTCTAAGTTTTCTCTATAATTTTGGAGTCAGAGGCCTCCCCTAAGGCCCTTATGGTTATGGGCAATGGAAGACTATAGATTATCCTTATCCTGAGACCCTGGGCATATGGAGCTTTTGCTGATGCTTTCTTTGATCAATTTTGCTGGCCTTCTTCTGCCTGTTCCTCAACCAAGAACTCAGCTTCAAATCAGGCTAGTGTAACCAAGAAGCTTACCATCTACAAAAGTCTCTAGCTTTCTAGTCCTTGAAATTGCAGAAATATAAAGATAGAAATCAGAAAGGGTCCATTTTTATCAATTTTCTAACGATTAAGAACAATATGACAAAATCTAACACTCAAGAGGTAATGAAAAAGAGGTTCCAGTCACACAATACAAAGAGGAGGAGGGGCATTGCAAAGCTACAGAACTGACATTAGGCTGTCCTCAGCTAAGTAAATTCAGCCTTGTATGTATATGAAGTCAGAGCTAAGAAGAGCAGATGGGAAGAGAACAGGAATGATCTTAAAATAAAACATTAAAATTAGCTCCCACTGATTGGGTAGCTTTCTCCAACATTTTTAAGCTCCAAGTACCAGCCAGCCCTTGCTATTCCTTTTTTTTTTTTTTTTTTGCCTCATAGAGGAAAGGGGAAATGGAATCTTGGAACAGAGAACTAGAGAAAAAGGACACAGAGACCCTGAGTATTCCTTCTTTTTGGCAGTTCTAATAACTGTGGGCAAGCCGAACAAGATACTTGTGAGAATGCAGCTCCTGGGGCTTTTACTTTAAATGAACACTGATTAAGTTGGTTTGGCTTTTGGGCACATTAAGTGGATGTCATTTAAGTGTCTGCTCCAGTCCTGTAGGTATACTACCAGGTATCTGCAACATATCATGGCCAGTCTGAGCAGCAGAGCAGAAATCATAGGGATGGTTGAAATGAGCATGTTTCCCCAGCCCCACCTCTTTTTTTTTTTCAATAAGGAATGATCTTTTAAAGAAACTTTTAAATTGGAACAGCTTTTGCCTTGTTTTGCTTGGCCTTGAGGTACAGAACTAGAAGCAATATGTGGAAGCTACAGTGGGGCATTGTTTCAACATAAGGAAGAGCTTCTTAATGGAGTACAGTAGTCCCAAATGAAATGGATTGTCCCAGGAGGTAGAGCTCTCCACCACTTGAAGGATTCCGGTTCAAGAACAGGTTGGAGATGACCTCTAAGAAGTTATAATTAGCAATTTTTGTGCCCATGGCACTGCTCATTGAACTGGGAGATAGGGTGATGGTGCAAAGGCATCAAAGAACTCACTGGGAATGTGGTCACTGGTCCATTATTGGGCAGTTTCCTATTTTAATTCTTCTTGCTAATCAGTTGCTAAGTTATTTTTTTCTGTGAGTGTTGGCAGTGCCCTCAATTTTTGTGCTTGAAATTAGCACTGTGAATTTTTTGAATTCTGAGCTTTTATGAGTTTAACTAGTAAAGCAAATGCTTTAAAGTAGCATTTTGTCAGCCTGGTGAAACATGTGGATTCCTTTTTGGAATGTTTTTAAATACATAAAATAAAATGTATAGATCAATAAAGGAAACTAATTATACTGTTATCTAAAAAAAAATCACAAACTTCTGGTTAAGAACCTCTGCTTTAGAGTAACTTTCTAGAGAAAGACAAACCTAAAGAAACCTGAGATGCATGGGTATAAGTTAGCCATGCAGAATATAGAAGTGGAATGAACCTCAGAAATAATGTAGTCCAACCCACCACTCCTTTTGCAAATGAGAAAACTAAGGCTGAGTTAAGTGACTTACCCAAGGTCATACAGGTGACTCAGTACTGTAATGAAAAGTGTTCAGGATTTAGAGTCAGAAAGACCTGGATTCAGATCCTGCCTAGTTGGGTGTCCTGAAGCAAGTCAATTAACTTCCATAAATCTCAGTCTCCTCATCTGTAATGGAAATGAGGTGCCACAGCAAACAGACCGCTGGGCCTGGAATCAGGAAGACCTGAATTCAAATCCAGCTCCAGATATTTACTAGTTGTATGACCCTGGTCAGGTCACTTAACCTGCTTGACTTGGTTTCTTCATATGTAAAAGGAGGATAATAAAGTACCTATCTCCCAGGGTTGTTGTGAGGATCAAATATTGTAAAATGTTTTGCAAACCTTAAAGTGCTGTACAAATGCTATTTTAATGCCTATAATACTTAGCTCACATGGTTGTTTTGAGGCTTAAATGAGAACTAATGTGCTACCTGCCAGTTATGATATTAGGTAGCAAAACTGGAATCTGAACTTGGATGTTTTTACTCCAAAATCCAGTGCCCTTTTGACCATACCTCCTTCGCTAATCTTTATAACTTCTCTTTTCAACTTAATCTAACCTGAATTTTACACAGAACTCAAAATGTTCTTTTACCTTCCCCCTTAATCTTAATAGTATTGTCTGCCTCCTGGAATTTGTCCTGGGTTGTAGGGCTTCTGAGACTTTTGGCATCAGACCCCTGGGGAGCTGCTTTCAGATGGAGGTAATGACCTCAGGATTAGGAAATACTTCCTTATTGTACAACTTGCTTCCTCAGTACCACCTTCAGATTCTACCTCTTTTCATCCACCTTGAGCTGTAAGTCTTTTTTCCTTCCAAAAGTATGTGATAGGTATGTAGTAGTTGTTATAGGTTATGACATATAAGTGCGCGTATATTGGTGTGCCTAGAATGAATGAGTAAAAGGCAACCGCCTAAGGCCATTATGAGCCTTAGGACAGATACATTAAGGATATTGTTGTAAGAAAATAGATCTGAGGCTAGATATACCAAGATAATTGTTAAGACCAGGGGTGGGGGAACCACCCCCTGGTTAAGACCCTCAGAATATGGAAACCTATAGCTTCAGAAAAGAAACCAGAAACTTAAGAAAACAGATGAAAATTAACCTGTTGAGCAAACCTTTATCAGCAAAATAATGGCTTACATTTATGTAGCCTTTTAAGGTTTGCAAATTGGATGCTCACCCACAAAACTGCAGCACCACACAGGGTTTAAGACCACTTACACTTGGGGAGGAAGCAGAGTAGAGGAACCTAAGGGAGAGGACTATGTATCCACCACCAATTTCAGGAGAATCATGCTAAATTACCAGAACCCTTCCCTCATGGTGGAAGCCTTAATAAGAACCTGCACCTGTTCAACAAGAGAAACTGTGGTGTTGGCCACTCATTGCTCTATGAATAAGATGCCAATGTGTGTGTGTGTGTGTGTGTGTGTGTGTGTGTGTGTGTGTGTAATTCATAATTCTCATAGTCCTTTGGGTTCATGAAGCACTTTGCTTATAACCCTGCCATATAAGTGGCACATTATCACCTATGTATTACATATGAGTAAATAGCTCAGAGGGTGAAGTGATTTTCCCTCGATCACAGAGGTAAGAAGTGTCAGAGTCAAGCCTTGAATTCAGATCTGCCAATTCCAAGTTCAGTACTCTTTCCACCATGCCATGCATGGATGTGTAGACAATTGTTATAATTATTTCTTTCTTCCGCTTGCTACTCAAAACATACTGGTCCAATTTCCAATACCGAAACTATGTAGCAATACCAGTTTGTGCAACATGCTGTCTTTGTGTCAGGTGTATAAAAGCTCCCGTGTCTCTTCCCACTCCCACATATGAAATAAAATATTTTCTCACCTAACCTTTTAGATTACTCACAGAATCAGGTGGAAAAGAACTCTGAGGTTATCAATTAATATCCAAAAAGAAATTCCCTTTATAACATCCCTGTCAAATGGCTATCCAGGTTTCATGTGGAGAACCTGCTACTTCCTGGGGCAGAATATTCTACTTTGAGACAGCTCTAATTGGAAGGAAATTACTCCTTGTGCTGATATCTGTTCTATAAGATCCAACTACTGATATCGGTTCTGCTTTCCAGGGCCAAGAAGAATACATTTAATTTCTTCTATATGACAGCCCTTCATATATTTCAAGACAGTGATGACTTCTCATATCCTCAAGTCTTTTCCCCATTTTCTGCTCGCAGGTGGAAGTTGTATAGAGGAAAAAACACTGAATCTGGATATGGAGGATTTGGCTTCAAATACCAGCCTTGTCTTGTGTGACCTTGGACAAGTCACTTCCCATCTTGAGGCCTGTTTCTTCATACATGAGTTGAACTGTGTGACCACTGAAGTACCTTTTAGCTCTAACTGTGAGATTTCTTCTTCCTCACATAACATGTTTTCAAGTCACCCTGGTTACCTTCTTCTTAATAGACTGCCCTTTGTTGTCTCCTCTGAAGAAGTCCAAGAACACAATATTCTACCTGTCATCTGATGATAAGCAGAGTAAAGAAGTCCTACCATCCTCTTTCTTTCTGACCTTTATGCCACCATTAATACAGTTTGAGATCATATTTGCTTTTCTTGGCTACTATAACACAATAGTCATTCACTGAATTTGCAGTACACTAAGAGACTCAGGTATTTTTACATGAACCGCTGTCATGCCAGGTCTCATCCACTCTGTGCTTGTACAGTTGGTTTTTTGAACCTATGTGCAGGATTTTCTATTAATCTCTATTTAATTTCATCTTTACAGTTAGCCCGTAGTTTTGGCCTATTGAGATCTTTCCAGGTCCTGATTCTTTCAGCCAATGTTACCCGTAGATATGATAAGCAGAACAACTGCTATGACTTCTGATGGAGCTGGATTCTACATAAAACATTCTCAGGTTCTATGGAATTATTTAAGCAAAGTGAACTAAATAAAAAAGAATAAATTGGTTTCAGCATACACTTGAGTGAAAGGAGTCCAGCCCTTTAAAGGTAAGTTCAATGGAAAAACAAGGGGAAACTAGGTATAGTAATGGAATATAGTTTGTATGAAAGAATGTTCTAAAATTTGCTATAAAGTATTATCTTTATATACTATATTTAAAGTTGCTTAATTTTAAGTTTCAATAATGACACTTTATTTTTATAAATGGTGCATTAATTTATGGTTAAATCTGAGGCCTTGAGCAGAAAGCCACTTTTTGAATCTTAGGGAAGGCACATACCTTGGAGTTTAGAACACATAATTTAGACACTCCATTGCCACCAGGTGGCAGTGTACAAAAGTTCAATGATTAACTTTTTAAAGGGTAAGAAAAAAATGAGACCTAAATTTGTAGAAAAGTCATGAAGTGACAATTTTCTCTTCACTGTAAACTTTATAATGTAAAATTTTGTGTGAGTGCAAAGAGATCTTCCTCAAATTACATTCACAATATAACTTTCTCCCCTAGTGTGAATTTTGTGATGCTGAATTTAAAATGAGTGCATACTAAATATTTCTTCATGTGTACTATATTCACAAGATTACTCTCTAGTGTGAATCTTTTCATGACTAATTAGAGTTATTCTCTGGCTGAAGGTTTTTCCACATTCATCGCATGTAAAGGGTCTCTCTCCACTGTGAATCCTCTGATGTCGAATAAGATGAGAGCTTTGCCGGAATGATTTCCCACATTCACTGCATTCATAGGGTTTTTCTCCAGTATGAATTCTCTTATGTTGGATAAGTGATAAGCGTGCACTGAAGCATTTATCACATTCATTACAAACATAGGGTTTCTCTCCAGTGTGAATTCTCTGGTGCTGAATAAACTGTGAGTGTTGACTGAAAGCTTTTCCACATTCACTACACTCATAAGGTTTCTCTCCAGTGTGTATTCTCTGGTGCTGAATAAGTGATGAGCGTACATTGAAGGCTTTACCACAGTCATTACACTCATAGGGATTTTCTCCAGTGTGAATTCTCCTATGTCGAATAAGGTGTGCACTTTGGCTGAAGGCTTTTCCACATTCATTACATTCATAAGGTTTCTCACCATTATGTGTTCTCTCATGTTTAATAAGCGTTGAAATCTGGCCAAAGGTTTTCCCACATTCATTGCACTCATAAGGTTTTTCTCCAGTGTGACTTCTCTGATGCTGAATAAGGTGTGAACCCTGGCTAAAGGCTTTCCCACATTTATTACATTCATAGGGTTTTTCTCCATTATGTACTCTCTGATGTTGAACAAGGGAAGAAAGTACACTGAATGCTTTATCACATTCATTACATTCATAGGGTTTTTCTCCATTATGTGTTCTCTGATGGTGAATAAGATTAAAGCTCTGACTAAAGGCTTTTCCACATTCATTACACTCATAGGGTTTCTCTCCTGTGTGAATTCTCTGATGCTGAATAAGGTGACCTTTCTGGCTAAAGGTTTTGCCACATTCATTACACTCATATGGTTTCTCTCCAGTATGAATTCTTTGATGTTGAATAAGAGATAGACGTGCACTAAAGGATTTCCCACATTCATTACATACATATGGTTTCTCTCCAGTGTGAATTCTCTTGTGTTGGATAACTTGTGAACGTTGGCTGAAGGATTTCCCACATTCACTACACTCATAGGGTTTCTCTCCTGTGTGAATCCTTTGGTGCACAATAAGAGTTCGGTTTAAGCTAAATGTTTTGCCACATTCATTACACTCATATGGTTTCTCTCCAGTATGAATTCTCTGATGCTGAATAAGGGATAAACGTGCACTGAATGCTTTCCCACAGTCATTACACTCATATGGTTTCTCTCCAGTGTGAATTCTCTGGTGCTGAATAAGATGTGAGTGCCTACTGAAGGCTTTCTCACATTCTTTACACTGAAAGGGTTTTTCCCCAGTATGAATCCTCTGATGATGAATAAGGTTAGAACTATGACTAAAGGCTTTCCCACATTGATGGCATTCATGAGGTTTCTCTCCAGTATGAATTTTACCATGTTGAATAAATGATGATCTAGTACTAAAGGCTTTTCCACAGTCATTACATTCATAGGGTTTCTCTCCAGTATGAATTTTACAATGCTGAAAAAAGTATGAACGAGCACCAAAGGCTTTTCCACACTCATTACATTTGTAGGGTTTCTCACCAGTGTGAATCCTCTGATGTTTAGTAAGGATAGAACTGCGACTAAAAGTTTTTCCACATTCACCACACTCATAAGGTTTCTCTCCAGTATGAATTCTCTCATGCTGGATAAGTGCTCTGTTCTGGCTGAAACCTTTTCCACATTCATTACACTCAAAAGGTTTCTCTGTGTTATGAAGTTGCTGATGTTCAATACTAATTGAATTCTGTCTGGGCATTTTTCCATATATGTTAAGTTTACAACCCTTCTCTCGTGTATGGACACTCTGATGATTAACAAAGTCTGAATTCTTTTTGAAAGTTTGGCCACAAGTTGCACATTGATAGGTTTTCTCACCTTTGGGAACCCTCTGGTGTCTAACATGTTTTGAAGTCAGATGTAAGTGCCTTCCAAATTCGTTACATTCCTGACCTCTCACTCTGGTAGAAGCTTTCATGGGGATCACTGTCATCGGCTTGCAATTTCTTTCCAGAGAACGGGATTTCCTTAGGGCTCCCACCACAAGTTTTTCCCACTGTTTTTCTAATTGATTCTCAATTTTATAGGCCTCTCCAGATTCAGGTCTCTTGAGTCTTCCCAGTATCAGCCCCTGTAACTCCATTTTTTCAGATATTTTCTGTCTTGGAGATAACTCTTTTTTAGTTTTGGTCTCACAATCTGAAACATTGAACACAAAACAAAATATAAATGTGATCTGTTTTTTATTCTGGCTGAAGACACATTATTGGGGCAGGAGGATGAAAAGCTCAGTGAATCAAACATCTAGTTTGGTGCTGACAGATTTCAATACTAGTCTCATAGCCTATAGAAAGAATGAGAAAGGGTAGCTTTCTAGGGGAGCAAAGGACAAAAGTGAGGGGGAAAGCACTGTTTAAGGGTGAAGGGGAGTCCAGAGAACAAGGAAACCTGGACAAACTACATAAAGGTGCTGAAAGAATTTATGGAAGTGATGATTGAGTTCTTGTTAGTGATCTTTGATGAATCCTGGAAAACAGGAGAGGTACTACAGGAGTAGAAATGGACAAAAATTTCCTCATTTTTTAAAGCACAGGAAAAAGGTCAATATTTAAAACTTTACCCCAGTAAGATTGGCACAAATTCCCTGTAAATTCAGGAACTGGGGGGAGGAAGCATAGAGGAAAACATCTGAATGATACATAAAGAAAAGCTGACTATCAACAGAGACAGAAATAGAATCAACATTATCACAAGATCAGAGATTTAGAACCAGAAGAGACTGTAAAAACCATCTAGTTCCACCCACATTTTAGTGATGGGGACCAGGTCTAGAGGGATTACCTAAGGTCACACAACCTAGGGTTGTACAGAGCAGAACTGGGATTCAAACCCCCGGTTTTCCAAGTCCATATCTAGCACTCTTCCCACTACACCATAATGCCTCTTGCCAATAGATTTCATTACAAAACTCCTGGAAAAAGAGATGAAGATTTCAAGAAACAGATCACAAGCCTGGCAGCATAGAGGGATGACATAGTGGTGATGGGCAACATTAGCTATTTGAGCTCTTTCTACCAAAAGAAGCACAACTAAACATTTCCTAGTTTTCCTTGGTTATCATTTCATCCATAAAAGGCAAAAAAAGTAATGCGGACCTGCTATTCTGAACCTGATTCCCAGCAACCAGGAAGAAATTTCTACTTAAGTAAAATTATGTGAACCTTGAGGAAAAGTGACTACTACAAATCTTATAACTTGTATCTGGGAAGGAAAGGAAGATCCAGCCATAATGTGACATATAATCTAGATATGGGGAAAAGCAGATTTCAAAGGATTCATAGAAAAGATACACAAGATCCCATGGACTAAAATTCTATAGAAGGCAGTCTGGGTCTGTCAAGAGGAGAAGGTGGAGGCCAGACACTGAAGAGCTCCTCTCAGATCCTCCACCATTAAGAAGGGCACCCAGGCAATTTACCTCATCATTTACCACTCAGATGATCTCCAAAAACTTGTCATTCAATAAGATGAATTAAACTCTGTAACTTGTACTTCCTCAGATTATTTCCCATCCAGACTGCAGGACTTCATCATGCCCCCATGCCAGGTAACCTCCCTTTGCCCTGCTCTTCAGCTTCTTATTTATGTGTTGTCTTTCTTTATTAGATTGTGAGCTTCTTTGGGGTAGGGACTATCTTATGCCTTTTTTGTATCCTCTGCACTTAGCACAGTGCCTGGCATACAGTAGGTGCTTAATAAATGTTTACTGACTCTGAATTTTCAAGAATAAAACTCTGAAGACACAAAGAAACTCACAGATCAACTTAGATTTTAAAAAGAAATGTACAGAAAATAGAAGAAAAGACAAGTAATGTAGAATGAAAAGTGGTCTGGAAGGATAGTACTAGTAGCATTAAAGCTCCAAATAAACTGCAAGTGACCAAAGAATGTTAAGGACAATAAAAAAGAAGGTTGTTCTTTATTGATACTGGGGAAAAGAGGAGAAATCAAAGAAGGGATAGGACCACTTTTTGACATGGATAGGACAACATTAATAGATGGGAGAAAGAAGACAGAATTATTTAACTCATTTTTTTCTATTTTCTCTGCTAAGGAGAATAATATTTGAACTGAAAGAGTCAGAACAAAAATGAATAAGGATGAAGAGAGCACCCAGCTGCCCTTTAAGAGTTCATCACTAGGTCCAGACAACCTATATCAGGGGTGAGGAACCTGCGGCCTTGAGGCCACTATGACCTTTTGACTGAGTCTAAGTTTTACAGAACAAATCTGTTTATTAAGGGGATTTGTTCTGTGAAGTTTGGATTCAGTCAAGGGCCACACCTGGGGACCTAGAGGGCCACATGTGGCCTCAAGGCTGTAGCTTCCTCACCCCTGACTATATCCTAGGGTACTGAAAAGAAATAAAAGCATAATATCTCAACCAGCACAGAGGTTAAGGGAAATTATGCAGTAATATTCATCGATTGTGATGTCTGTATTTCTGCCATAGCCAAGAGACTGTATTCTAAATGCAAGCTGATCACTCTCCTTAGAGAAGGCATTCAGGGAACACCTCTTAATGCTCTAGAATGTTTGAGAAATGGAAGTAAAGCTTCAATAGGGGAAAAAGGAATCTGAGACAGGCAGGGAGCCTTGACCTTTACAAAAGGTTGGAGTACGGAAGAGTATTAGAGAAAGAGAAGGAAGACGATGGCTGTATGGTTAGAGCTCAAACAGATTTGAGGTCTTCACCCCCAAGAAAGGAACTGGGTGATCTGAGAAGAAGCTGCTTGTTATCCAAAGAATCATAACGTAAAACAACAGATGCTATATCCTGAGACATCATCAATAGGGGTTAGAAAAAGAAAGCTAGTAGTAATTGTAGGTGATTTTCCATTTAGGCATACTTAGGTGGCTATTTATCAACTCAAATCAGAGAGATCTGTTGTCTTCCTGGCTCATGTATCCAAGACACAAGAGAAAAATTCCCAAGACTCATCAAAATGGATGATAACTACCTAGGTGGTGCAAGGGACAGAGGGTTGGACCTAGAGTCAGGAAGGCCTGAGTTCAAATATGGCCCCAGACACTCACTAGCTGTATAACCCTGGGCAAGTCACTTAACCTCTGTCTGCCTCAGTTTTCTCATCTAAAAATGGGAATAATAATAGCACCTACATCACAGGGTTGTTGTCAGGATCAAATGAGGTAATATTTGTAAATGCTTCATAAACTTTCAAGTGCTATATAAATGCTGTTATCATTATTATTATTATTATCATTAATGTGGCAAGAATAATGCTGCCAAAAGGAACTTAAAAAATAATCATGAAAGATTACAAAGTTCAAGTCAAGAAATTAAAGACTGTTAGGACATAGTCAGTATTTCCTCACTGTTGTCCATTGAAGGCAAGGGATGCAGAAGAGAAAAATATGATCTGGAAAGTAAGCAGATGGCTAAGAAGGGGGTGTCTGAGAATGGGATTTGGATTTTTGGATTACGGTTTAAAATCTAAGGATGAAGAACTTCTGCCTAGAGAAAGAATGCACTTCTCAAAGACTGATAAGAATGTGTTTCCCTGGAATCTTGCAAATTAAATCGAAAGGGCTTTAAATTAAGAAGGATGGAGGAGGAAAAAGATTAGTGTCAGAGGTGTCAAAGACACAGCCCATAAAAACTCCCAACACTCCCAGAGCTGGAACAAGATTCAAATGTAATTGGGAAACATTTAACAAAATAAATAAAAAAATACAATAGAACATAGATAATGTTAAAAATGTGATTTCCTAAGGCAATATGCAGCCCACAGGGTTATTTATGTATGGGTAGTGGCCCCTGTTTCTATTTTTGTTTGATGCCACTGATTTAGATAACATAGAAAGTAGCAACAAGAAGTAAGACTAAAAGTTGAGACACCCTTAAGTCCACTAGATACAAAATACAACAATGGAACTAGTAGTGAAACCCCTGGCCTCAAATGTCTATACATTCATGCCTAAAGTTTAGGCAACAAGCAAAAGGAACTAAGGAGGGAAACTGAACACTGTAAGTCTTACTGAAATCTATACCCGGTTCTGGGGATGAGTATACTTTATGAAGGAGAAACAGGATAGGTACCAAGGGAGTTAGGAGTCAGTATATTAAGAAGGTATACTTACTTATGTGAAGAAATAAAGGAACCAAAGGAAAAGGGTATTTGGGTAAAGGCCAATGTAAGGAGAAATGAAAATGATTTTGTCACTGGAGTATATTACAGACTACTGGGACAGAACGAGGAAACAGATGACAATGACTTTCAGAAACAGGTCACAAGAGTGGCCCAGAAGCATGATATATGAGGGACTTCAGTAATCCAGACATCTGCTAGAGCTCTGTCAATGAGAGGCAGCTAATAACTTATTTACATGATTTTACATGATTTAATGATAAGTTCATTTTTCAAAAGGTAGAGAAATCAACAAGAGGAAATTTTATTCCAGAAAGCTAACATGATATATGACAGAGTCAGAATTCAACAAGATCTTGACAAGTTAAGAGTATTGGGCTGAATCTAATAAGATGAAATTCAAGAGATAAATATGTCTTACACTCAAGTAAAAAAGAAATTAACTTCACCTGTACAAGATGGGAAAGACATAATTAGATTGCAGTTGTTCTGAAAAAGATCTGAGTGGTTTTAATGGATTTCAAGCTCAACATGAGTTATCAGTGTGATGTGACAGCCAAAAAATCTAATGTAATCCTGGGCTGCATTAAGAGGGGCACAGATCACAGGAAGAGAGGGTGATAGTCTCACTGTGCTCTGCCTTGTCAGACTTCATCCTGGTACTGTGTTCAATATGAAGAACCACAATTTAAGACAGACACTGATAAAATGAAGAGTATCCTGAAGAGGGCAACCAGCATGGTGAAAGTCTTATAAGAAATGCTTGGAGGAATGTAGGGTATTTAGTCAAGAAAACAGACTCAGGGGGAACATGATAGCTCTGGGACAAAAACAAAATGTGTCAACAAAAATGAGATACAATTTTTTTAAAAAGAAAAAAGTTTTTGAGAGGAAAATATTGAGAGTTGTATGAGAAGCCAGATTACAGGGTTTTTACCAAATGGATAGGTGGTAAAGATATGGGAGAAGAAGATATGTTCTCTAAAGATTTTCACAATAATTGGAAAGTGAAAGTAACTTAAGCAAGTAGCATAGTTAAGGGCTTTTTTTTTTTTAAGGGAGAATAACTGATCGAGAATTCTGGAAGAGAAGGAAGGGTTGGGATTTGGAGCAAGAGGAAGGCTTAGCCTTGGAAAGATAAGTTAACCCAAACAACCATGTTTAGTAGCCTGATGACTACACAAGAAATGTTCAGTAATAGAAGGAAGGAGGTGGTGCTCATTCACTCACCTGAATAGTCACTTTTCATGATGTCTCTCCCTCCAGCTCCCTGTGTGTCCAGGACCCATGGCTCTTCCCCTTTTTCCAGCTGGGAAATTATATCAGGTTTGGATACTGAGAATCCTGTTTGTGAGGAAGAAAATGGCTCTAGGTAGTATTTCACAGACACCTACAACTGTCCTAAACTCAGTCCCAACCCCTGGGGTCTGCATGGGGCAAATATGAAGAGAAGATTTTCATAAAATAATTAAACATTTTTATACTAAGGTAATGTCCCACAAGTCTGTTTTGGCAAGGTCTATGTACTCTGTGAAGGAGCCTCAAAACTATGTTCCCTTGTGGGAAGTAGGCCAGGGAGTTGGAAATCTGGGAACAATGAACCATGACCTCTATGACTTTCCCCATTAGGAGGGTGGGCAACTTCCATCTCTAGGGATGTCCAAACTGGATTCTGGGAAAGAATTCTGAGCCTAGGATAGAAAACCTGGATGATGGGAAAATATAGACTCAGGGAGAAGTCAAGAAAACTGTCCATTTCCTGCTCTGAAGAGATAAGCCTGTGGCTTGGTATCAGGAAAAAGAAGTACCCTGTGTTTAAACCCAGATAGGACTAGGAATCTCTGATTGCTGAACGCTGAGCCCAAATCCAACCAAGCCTTCCAGTCCTAGACTATTTACAAGCAAGAATCTAAGAAATTTAGATTTGCATCTCAGGGAGAGGCCTTACCCAATGAGACCAGGTTCCCGTAATTCTCCAGCATCACATCCCTATAGAGACCCCTCTGGGCAGGGCCGAGACAGCCCCACTCCTCGCGGGTGAGGTACACAGCCACATCCTTGAACATCAGAGATGTCTGAAACAACAGAGTCCTATTGTAGCTTTGAGAAGACTGTCAATGCTTGGCCCTTGGGTAAAGGGGAAGCCAGTGTCTGCAAACCATCTACTAGAGGAAAGGAGCAGGCTGGCATGTGATATTCCACAAAGAAACAGGTAAATCTGTTCACACACAGAGAGAAGAACCCAGACTGTGAGGGAGCAGTCTATATGGAAGTACTCATCCCATAGCCTCATGGGAAAGAGAACTTGTTGAATAGCTACCCTGTACACTGTGTCATCAATGTCAATCAATATTTTGAAAGTATATATGTGGGAGGGGGAATGATGGACTGTATATAGACGCTCCCTTTCAGCACAAGGAAGGTGCTGAGGCCAGTGGTACCAGAGCATCAGTGGGATTTCAGGAAGTATAGCTCACCTGGAGCCTGGCTGGCAAGGACTCAGCTACTACTGCTTGGTCTCCCAGGCTCCACTCGGGAAGATGGGCCGGAACAGGGAGATCAAGTTGACCTGGGAGAAGAAAAACGATCATGAGAGGAGGAAGATGGCGAGATTCCAGCCTTTCTTGTGGCTCTCCTACTATTTCACTTTGAGATTCCCTAGCTATCCTCTGTAAGGGATCAGAGAAATCCTATGACCTAAGAAATGCTGTCACTCCATGACTGCTGATAGTGTGTGTCAAACTGTAAGTCCCTGCAACTGTGAATGCAAGAAGACACTAGAAGTCAAGGTCTTTGAGAAAAACTTATGTTAAATGGGAAACGAGATGGCTGAAAACACTGAGCCCTTGTCTTATGTCCTACTCCCTCTGTTCTCAAAAATCACCTCTAGGGAGTCTTACTCAACAAAGCATCACCTCCCTTACTCTAATCTCTCCAGTTTTTCCCCTAACAATCATGAAATCTCCTGTTAATTATGCAAGCCACCAGTGTCTGAACCCTACCTCCTCAGCCACATCCCTCATCTCTTCCCCTCTCTGACCCCAGCAGTCCCTCCCTAGGTCAAGCCTGTAGCTATGGCCCCTGAAAGAAGGCCCAGAGAGAGAGCCAGGACATTCTCAGATCCCTAGTGAGAGCTGCTTGAGTCCTCGTGTGGCCTTTCCCAGAGACACTCCCTCCAGCCACAGAGAATCATATACAATCACAAAGAATCACAGCTCTACAGTCTCTTCTTAGGGGAAGGGCTGAGGCCCACAGGGGAAGTTTGAAAACCTCAAAAGAGAGAGCATGTATGGAGAGGCCAGGACTCCTTCTCTATAAAGAGTCACACCATCCTGGGAACAGCCCATCACACTAGAGCAAAACACACAAGTTTGCTCCAGCCCAAGGCTTTGTCTATGAAGCAAGAAGGGAGAATGTATCCTGTTGTGATAACTCCATGTGGACAGGAAGCTACTCATTTCTATTTTTTGTTCCTTCCTTCAGCACTTCTGGGACAACATTGTGGTGTACCTTGTTTTCTAGAAGGCTTGTGTATCTATGTCCTGTGTCCTATTTTGTGTGTCCTATTTTTTCATGGTCCCTAAAGCCTCAGGTACATTCTGTGCAGGTAGCAGGCTCAGCAATACTTGGCAGATGGGCACTTTTAGGCAGATCTCTGGGCTTCAGTAATTAAAGGTGAGGATGCTTCATGGCATACATTCAGCCATTCCAGAAATTCAAGAAGCTGGAAAAAGTGCAGTCTTTCTATATACTTGTTTTGTAAAAAACCCCAACTTCTGCAGAAGAACCATGGGTGGTAAATGAAATTCTTCCACTGCCAGCACCTGAGGTGTCTTGAAAACAGGACTTCCAGGAGATATCCATAGGCTGGACAACGTTGGGCTCTGAATCTATTCTCCGCACCTGTCATCCTTGACCAGGACAGAATGTCTCCTCATTTCTCTTCATACTTGGAATGCCTGTGGTGCCCCAAGACACCTGGCCTGGGAGCAGGTTCTTATTTTAAGTACTGGAATGGTCAGACCTGTGCTTTTAAGAAATTCATTTTGGCAGCTGTGTGAAGGATGGATTAAGGAGGGGAAAGAGAGAGACCTATTAGGAAGCTATAGCAATAACCTAGGCCAAACATGCTGAACAGAGAAATTCATATTTATTAACCTAGAAGTAACAGGGAAACAGCCCAGGCTACTCCTCCCTACCCCATGCCTGGGATGCTCTCTCCTCAATTCCACCTCTTGGAATCCCCTGCTCCCTTCAGGATCACCTCAGGTACCACCTCCTGCATGAGGCCTTTTCCCATCTCCCCTGCTTTCAGTGCTCCTACCCTCATTTCTTTGCTCCCACTTTATATTTACTATAAATTAATAGATTATGAGCTCTTTGAGGGCATAGATTCTTTCATTTTTAGCACATACCTCAACACCTAGAAAATGCTTTGCATATTTTTTTTGACTGGCCTTTGATTTCTTTGGTAGAAAGAGCTCCTAGTGAAGAACTTTCTCCACCAATGTAAACTGTCCCCTTTTCTGCAGCTTATAGTTGTGAAGTGCTATCTGAAATCCTGAGATGTGAAGTGATTTGCCCAGAATAACACAGACAGTATGTCAGAGGTAAGATTTGAATTCAGGTCTTCCTGAGTCCAGGCCAGCTCTCTATTGACTACAACACACTGCCTCGTGTTTTATAAATATTTAACTGAATTGAACCATGATGACTGATCTCTTCTTCCCTCAACCCTTAAGAGATGATCTCTCACCTGACGGCATGGGTGGATCCACAGCCCCACTGCCTAACGCCAAGCAGCTGCCTCCTCCTCCTTCTCAGAAAGAACCTCATCTCTATTACTTAGCTCCAAGTGTCCAGTGGCCCTTCTTCCCTTACTCTGGTGTCACATACTTCTTCCTGACACGGATCACAATTCTCCTTTGCTCTTCAGATCCTTTTTCTTTTTTGCTTCACAAGGAAGCTTTTAAAGGACTATTTCATTACCTCTGATAACCTGTAGAACTGAGAGGCGTCCTTTAAGCCCCTTTCCTTTTTCTTCTAAGGAGGAAATCTCCACTTTAAGGGTATTGGCATGGGCAGGAAGACAAATATGGCATGATTTATTCAGGTCACTGCAAAATAGGTTTAGGAGTGAGAGATGGAAGGCTGATAAGCTGTGGCAGGAGAGGAGAATTTCACTGTTCTGGATTACAGAGGCAGAACAGTTATGAGTGATGGTGAGGTCAAAGTATGACCAAACCTGCATGTGGCAGAGCTGGAATGAAGGTGCACGTCACCAGAGTTGAAGAACAGGGAGGCCAGGGGACATCAATACATATCTTGAAGTTCCAAGTATAAGATCAGGAGCAGGTGAGGAGAGGAAGAGTGAAGCAGGTGCTCACCTCCATGAGAAAGGGGGCAGCATAGCCTGGGGGCCAGCAGATAACCACAAACTAGGTGAATAGAGGGAGATACAGATGGATGGAGCAAACCTCAAATTAGGAAATATTTCTGAGTAATGTTGACAGAGGAAAGGGCTGGAAGTGTCAGTAAAGGAAAAAAAAGAGTATGCATACTCCTCTTCTTGGCCTAGCTGTCCAGGGGCATGAGAAAAGACATCCAGTACTGTAGAAGGTGGCCAGGGATGCAAGTCTTCTGGAAGGGGAGCCAGGTTCCATGAGTGCAACAAGTTGGAGAAGCATGCCAGGAAAAGCTCTAAAATGAAGCAAAATGTATTCATGAGAGAATGGGGGAAAGGAGAAGGTGGAAGGATACAATGAAAGGGGAGTACAGAACAGAATGGGGACTCAGGAAGGATGGAGATGAGGAATGTGAGTAGTAACAGGGGAAAGGAGTTTTCACCTAGGTAGCCTTTGACTCTGGCTCAAAGATTAGGAGAAGAGGATGGGGAATATTCTAGCTGTGGGATAAGGAAATACCATTTGGCTGGGATTTATGGAAGGCAGATCCAATGTACACAACCTCACTTCCTTCTAAATGTCACAAACTCTGCCTCCTATGGGAAGAGATGGGGAACAAAATGTTTACAGTGGATGAATAGGTGGAAGGTGAGAAAGGGACAATCTAAGCCAAACTGGGAAGTCTACACGGTCAGTTTAGGGGACAGTTTGGGAGAGGAGTTTGATGACCACTCTGAGAGACAGGGCAGTCTCCTGCCATCTCCCTAGCATACCTTCCCTGTCCTGCCCAGTGTACTCATGCTGCCTTCTCTGTCCTCCAAAAACCCTGGGCCCATCCTCTTCCAAAGGAATGCCCTTTTCTGTTCACAAGGTGAACGGAAGATAGGTAACTGGAAGAACAAGTCCTGCTTCAACAGCAACTTGTGGTTCACAAAGTATTTTCCCCCAGAACATTATAAAGTAATAGTTCAAATATTATCTAACAAAGAAGTGACAGCTGAGGGCATAAGGTCATAAGCTAGTATAAAAGCTAGGAAGCAAGGAATTGGTTTAAACTAATTCACAGTAAAGGGTGAAGGACTGAAAGTTATTAACTCGAAGTCTTTAACTGATGGAATTTTGGCAATGAGAAAAACAGTAGAGGGAAGACTTTCAAACAGCCTTAGGCAGGCATTTTTTTAGAAGGAATATGGGAATGATGTAAAAATGAATCAAGAACACCTGTTTTTTCAAATGTAAAAGAACCTTCTATTAAATGTGTTTTCTCTTAAAAGCCAGTTTGAAATTTGAAGCCTTACATTACAAATGATATACTATAACTAATCACATCTGCCAAGTTCTAAGAGTTGATAACTTTCTTCTGAAAGTTTTCCCATCCCTAGTGTTACTGCCTACATCATTGCTTCTTGCCTGGATTTCCTTAACAACCTCCTCAGTGGTGTTCTGGAAATATTTTCTCTCCCTTTATTTATCCTGAACATGGGCACCAAATAAACCTTCTAATATCCCACCTTTATCATTTATGTCCCTAAGGCTTACAAAGTCCATACTCCTCACTCAAGGCTTTCTACAATCTAAACCTCATTGTTCACTAAAACCCCAGGCAGGCCTGTCTCTTCACAATTCCCAGCACAAACCAAGTTCCTTCTGTGCCTTTCTTCATAATATATCCCCACTCCGAAGTACCCTCCTCTCCAAATGCTATCCATCCTATCAAGGCTTAATTCCCCATTTCTCCCATGAATTCTACCCTATTAACCCAGCTGCCATGATCACCCTTCCTTGAAAGCCTTTGCCACTTAAGAGGTAGCATGGTATAATGGTAAGAGCATTAAAGTCAAAAGACCTAAGTTTGAGTCCTACCTTCAATATGTACTAAGGCTTCAGACCTTGCAAGCTCCTTGACTACTTTAAGCCTCAGTTTCCACATCTGTAAACTAGGCATCACAGGCTTTTGAGAAAAGTGCTCTTCAAACATTAAACTGCCATGGAAATGTGCAATGATTACTACTACCATATACTCGAGCTCTTAAATAATCATAAGACTAAATATAATTAACTTTGAGTATTTATTATTCTCTGAGGGCTTGAAAAACCATGTCCAGCACTTTCTATATGTCTGTCACAGTATCAGGGTAGAAAACAGGCACTCAATAGCATATGAATCAATTACAAAAGTATCATATCAAATATCCAAATGGGGTTATATCATGTACTCCATGACTGGAGAACAGCTAATCAAACGACAGTATACAAATGTAATGGATTATTACTGTGCCATATGGAAAGATAAAGATGAAATTTGGGAAGACCTGCACGAAGTGATAGATAGCAAAAACAAAGTACAGCAGGTGATATACACAATTACTACAACCAAGTAAATACAGACAACTTTAAATGTCAACAAAACTCAGATCAAAATTGCTGGACAATATCATTACTAATAAAGCACCTACTATTCGTTTCACAAGCCACAAACCAAAGTATAAAGTTGCATATAAAGGCGATCACTCTTTTATGCTATTTTGCTGAACTCTTTTAAGGTATTATATATTATGGAGGAGGGAATAATGAATATACTGGGGTTTTGCATGATGTATGAGAACAAAATCTAACAACTAAAAAAAAAGAAAAACAACACAAAGGGGTGATTACAGAATTACTGACTTATTATAGAATTTCCCTTTAAGTAATGTTATTCATTGAACTGGCAAAGGAGAGCCCAAAGTTATTCTAAAGAGTGATCAATGGACTTCCCACACAAGTTTGGATGGATCTGACAACTATAAAAGTGTCAGAAAAGATACACTTGTTGACTAGAGGCTGGAAACCAGAAGCTTATCACTAATTGGACTTAAATCATCCAAGATTACTTTTATTATTAGGCCATTCTGACAGAGATGAGGTTACATGAAAGAGATATTCTGGAGCTTGATAGGCCAAACCTAGCCCTCATCAGCATTGGAACAAGGCTAGAATAAGTAAGTAACATCAGGGCTATCATGGGACCCACAAGTGAGAATATAGAGAATAAACAGTAGTGTCTTTAATTACATTTGGGTAATCTGATATTAATTACAATTTTATGAAATCCAATATTTTTTGAAGGAGTACAAGAACTTAAGGAGGGAAAAATCAATCTCTCTATGAATTCACTGGGTAATAGGAGATAACTTTGCTAAAGATAATGGGGTCAATGCTTAACAAGTTATGAATATGACCATGGAGGCTGTTGGCAGGAGTCCTTCAAGAGTGATTTTCTGATATAGTAAGACATAAAGAATCTACAATTTGATTGTATAATCTATGATCCTAAATTGAAGGACAAGTCTCTATCCATCCCCTTCTAGCATCTTCTTTTATGAGATCTCCTCTCTTTGCCTCCATATTCACTAACCTCAGATTTACTCAGAAGATAAAGGAGTGACCATGGTTGAGACAGGTCAGGAACCAATCCCAATTTCACCATAAAACAGAACTATTTCCACTCTAAACCGTGTGAATTTCTTTTGTGCTGCTAAAATGTTATTCCTATTTAGTTGCTAAGAATCAGACTGCCAACAGCTGTAAGGCATATTAGAGTTCATTTGCTTGAGTCCTATTATTTCAGAGGTGAGGAAAAGGAGACCTAGAGAGAAGATATTTGGAAAAGGCTAGTTCTCATAACTACTACTCTTTCCTCTACACCATGACTACTCACGACTACTTGTCTTTCCTTTACACTAGCTATTTCTTGAATAGTTCAGGGTTAGAGTCTATTGTGTTTTTCCTCAATAACAAAAACTCTTAAGTGATTAAGGAAGAATCCACTCATCTCCACAGTAGTCACTATAGTCCCTTTTCCTCAGATATGGTCAGAAATGTAAGCTTACTATAGCTGGGTTTCCTTAGATTCCTCAACTCCTCTTCTGGGAAAGCTTTGGGGAACAGAATTTCCAGGCTCAGGGAAAAGCCTTAAGTTCAGAGGGAAAATGAGGGTATGCAATGAAAAGAGTTCAGATCCTTGATTAGAGAGGGTGGAGGTTGAGAGTACCTTGATGGGGATCGTGGAGGGGGAGCAGAATTTCATGACACAGAGTTCTGGGTCGGATCCTCGGTGAATTGTTGATTTGAGGAGTAGGTGCAGTAGGTAACTCTGGTCCTGCTCCCAGCGCAGACATCTCCATCTCCATTTCCTTTGAGAGCACGTCCTGTCCCTGAGCACAGCCTGGGACCATCAGGGACACAGAAAGTGAGGTTCAGGGCTGTGTGCAAGTGCATGCAACCTCACGGCAAAGGCCACTGGAACCGTGGCCAGGAACTCTGGGTGCAACAACGAGGAATAATAATAATAGTTAGGATTTATGGTGTATTTTTAAGGTTGCAAAGTGCTTTACAAACATCTCAGTTTATCCTAATAATGAGAGTTAACATTTAGATAGGATCATTACGTGCTTACACTGTGCTAAGCGCTTTGCAAAGCTCTTGTTCTGTGAGATGGGAACTGCAGATATTATCCCTATTCTGCAGATGAGGGAACTGAGGTCCAGAGAGGGGCTGACTTGCCCAAGATTATACATTAACCCCGGGCAGGTTTTGAATCCAGGTCTCCGGACTAGCACTCGGGGGCCCGCTCCTCGGTCCTGTCTCTAGAGAACTGTTCTTGACAGCCGCTCCCTCCTCCAGCCTCAGTTTCCTCCACTGTAGAAAGTGACAGAAGAAGGCTGTCAGGCACACCCTCCCTCCCACCCCGGGCACGGGCGCGACTCACCCTCCGCGCCGGCCCCGGCTGCGGAGACGGAACCAGACCAGACCCGGAGCCCCCGAACCTCTTTCCCTCAGGGCGCCAGACAACCCAGACCGGAAGTGTCGGCCGCATCTCCAGCGCCCAATCCGGGCCTGGGGAGCGCCCAGCGCCGCTCTAGGCTTCCGGGAGGACTCGCCGTCTCGGTAGCGGTCCGGCAGGAGGCCTCGGCCTGGCATGGCTACTGCCGAGGCCCCGGGCCTGACGCCGCGGTCCGCCTGAGGCCTGCGGGGCCTCTCCGGGATGCGGGCCCGCCGGACTGCGGAGCCTGGCCCTTACCAGGTGAGGAGCCCAGGCCAAGGCAAAGGCGGGGGGCGGGGTAGGGTCACCACGAAGTCACCGAGGCCCCGCGCACTGGCCACGCCTCCACCGTGTGTGTGGGTGTGTGGGGGGGGTGTGGGTGTGTGTGGGTGTGTGTGTGGGTGTGTGTAATCGTGATCTCCCCTGGTCAATAACTCTATCTCCCATGAAAACATAGTACTTTATAAATGCTCATTATTGATGATGAGGATGATGCTTACGATGATGTAGTGAGCATCAAATGTGCTGTGCAAACATTAAAGTGCAACAGAAATGGTAAATATTCTTGGTGATGGTGTTGGGTGTGCAGGTCAGGAATTTGACAGGTGGAGAAGGGAGATCTTAGAGGAAGGCAGCAGACTAGGCTGCCCTCCCTTTCTCCGAATCTGAACAGAAGTCAGATCAAACTTTCTATCCCTCACATTCCCCTTCCTCCTAAGGGTCGCTTTTTTCACAGGATAGTGGATATAGGGCTTCAACAGACTTCAGAGACCACCTAACCCAACCCATTCATTTTACAAATGAGGAAACTGGAGGTTTGACCAAGAAGTTTAAATGGCTTGTACACAGTCACACAAGTAGTAAGTGTCAGAGGTAGATTTTGATCCCAGATCCTCTTGAGCCAGGTTTCTCTCCACCAGACTCTGCTAGGAACCTCTGACTACAAGCGGAATTGTTCTGAATGTATTCTGTTTTATTTATTTATTTATTTGGCTAGGCAATGGGGTTAAGTGACTTGCCCAAGGTCACACAGCTAGTGCACCTTATGTGTCTGAGGCCAGATTTGAACTCAGGTCTTCCTGACTCCAGGGCTGGTACTTCTGAATGTATTCTGAAATGAACCACTGAAGATACTCCTCGTCAATTCCATTTCTATCCGGGTCTGTCCTCTGAGACACCCTCTGGTTTTTTCTTCATTTTTGGTGAGAGGATTTGTGAACCCTGGTTACCTGACCAATCACGGAGCTGTGGGAACAGGACTTTTTCACATCTAGACCTTCTGAAGCCTTTGTTCTCTCCTCTGTAAAATGAATGGAGCTGGCCTAGTTAAAGGGTTCTTAACCTTTCTTGTGCCCTGGACTCCTCTGGTAGTTCAAGTGAAGCCTAGGGACGCCTTCCCAGAATAATGTTTTTAAATGCACAAAATAAAATACAAAGGATTACAAAGAAGACCTCAAAACATTGAAAAAGAACAAGTTCCTGGAGGTCAGATTAAGAAGCCCTGGACCAGATGTCTAAAGGAAGGCCAAAGGAGAGGAGGTGGGAGAACAAAAGAGGATAGCAAGAAACATCGAGTTCGAAGGATGGAATTTATATATAAAGCTAGATACCGGAAGACATACAAAGAGACACACTCTGTCTCCTCAGGTCTGGGCTCTCTGGCTCTGGGATGGAAAGAAGTTAATCATTCATATAATGGAGGACCTTGAGGCCCAAGGAAACATGAAGGAGAATAAAAAGGCTGGAAGCAGCAATTTAGGAAGGTGAACCTCTAGATCTGGGAAGGATAGATGGGAGCAGGGAAAGTGGAGGTGGCAGGAAATGAGGAGATGAGGCAGTGAGATAGCAGAGGGAAGAAGAGGATGAATGTTGCCTGTCAGGAGAGCTGGGTTTAAACTCTGGCTTCTGACATGCATCCTCTGACTATGGGCAAGTAAGTCAATTAGCCTGTCTGACTAATCCATTTAGTTTTAGAATTCCATTTAGTTTGACAGATACGTAGAGGATCAGTGTCACAGAAGTTACACATAGATGTAGCTGTATGTGGCTCAGTAGATAGAGCCTTGGACCTGGAGTCAGGAAGATCTGAGTTCAAATCCAGCTTCAGGTATTCACTAGCTATATGGCCTTGGGCAAGTCCCTTGACTTCTATTGGCCTCAATTTCCTCATCTACAAAATGGGGATGATATTAATAGCACCTACCTCCCAGGGTTATTGTGAGGATCAAATGAGATAATAGTTGCAAAGCACTTTGCAAACCTTAAAATGTTATATAAATACGAAGAATCACCCAGAGTTTATATTTCTCTTTAGTGGTACTATACAAGAATAGAAAGTTACCAAGAAGACAAAAAGATCTTTCTCTAGGTTAGTCTTTGAGTGTTCCTTTTAAAAACATTTTTAGTTATTAAAAACAAAACCAGTGTCCGATTCTCTGTAATTATAGTCCTCTAACATTATTACTCTTCAAGGAATTCAACTGAAGTAAAAAATTCAGATTTTTCAATTTGGATTTAACCAATTTCAATCTGAAGCAGGTCATCACATGTTTATTTATTTATTTTTTTCCAGCATGCCTCTCCTTGGTAGCAGATTCTACTCTTGCCCCATTTTGCCCAGAGGGAACCAAGTCATTATCAGTTACTCCTGTTCTTTAGTGCTTTTAGAAACTCCTCATGAGGGGCAGCTAAGTGGCACAGTGGATAGAGCACTGGCCCTGAAGTCTCAGGAGGACCTAAGTTCAAATCTGGCCTCAGACCAAACACTTGACACGTACTGGCTGTGTGACCCTGGGCATTTAACCCCAACTGCCAAAAAATTTTTAAAAAAAGAGAAATTCCTCATAACCACCTTATGAGGTGGCACAACCTTTATCCTCATTTTACAGTCAAGGAAACTGAGGCCCACAGAGGTTGGACAAGTCACTCAACCTCTACACACTGGTATATGAATGATTGACTTCTTTCTGTCCGAGGGCCAGAGAACTCAATATTCATTAGGGAAATTTTCTATATTCCTTCTCTGTTTTTGCTCTTCCTGGTTTAGGTATCATCACTATGTTTGTGTCAGAAAAGGAATTTAGTAGGACTTCTTTGCCTATTTTTCAAAACAGTTTATATAGTATTAGAATTAACTGTTCTTTAAATGTTTGGTAGAATTCACTTGTGAATCCATCTCACAGGGTTCTTTGAAAGAAGTGTTTTGTAAGCCCTACTAGAACACTATATTGGGGGTCCCAAAAATCTTAGTGCCATTTTCTTTTTTTCTTTTTTTCTTTTTTTTAGGCAGTAGGGGTTAAGTGACTTGCCCAGGGTCACACAGCTAGTTAAGTGTCAAGTGTTTGGTCTGAGGCCGGATTTGAACTCAGGTTCTCCTGACTTCAAGGCCGGTTAGTGCCATTTTAAACTATTAAAGCTTAATAGGACATCTTCTATAAATGTGAATTGTGGGGCCTGGCCTAAGTCAGTCAATCAGTAAGCTTTTAACAGGTGCTTAAGGTGTGCCAGGTACTGTGCTAGATGTTGAGAATACAAAGAAAGGCAAAAAAATTTCCAACCTTCAAATAACCAGATACATACAAAGTATAGAGTAATCTCAGAGGGAAGGCACTAGTAACTGCAGGGACAGGGAAAGGCCCCTTACACAAGGTGGAATTTGAGCTGAGTCTTCAAGGAAACCCAAGAAACTAAAAGGGGAAATGAGAAAGGAGACCCTTCACAAATGTTTGTTGAATTAGCATGAATAAAGCAGAGATTGCTGGGGAGCTTTGGGGAGGGCTGTTCTGTCATACTCCTTTCTCTTCTCTTAACTCCATCTGCTAACCAGGTTCCTTCTTATCCAGAGGAGCCTGGAGGAGCCCAGGTGACCAGACGATGGCATCTACTCTCCTGTCAGCAAGGCCCCAGGTGAGCTCTATTCTTCCTGATACCTCATTGCTCTTTTCATATAACCTGTTGTCTAGCTGTGGTCATGCTTGTAAAGTCGATTTATAAAACTCAGAGGTACACTTCACACATATGATGATAGGGTCTGTCTAGTTATCTCCCTTTCCTCTTGGGAGGTATGCACAAATATGCTCACAGTAAATACATGTAAAAATACCTCCCCAGCATACACACACACTCTTAACACATGTATTCTCACAGATCTATAGAATCACTCTTATTCCAGTTTACATCCAGAGTCACATTCATGTACACATGCACATACAATCAGAACTTTGCCTGAGTGGCATAGAACAATGGTAAGAGTTCTTCCGTTTACAACCTTTGTGATTATGAGCAAATCACTGGTCTTCTCTGGTCCTCAGTTTCCTCATCTATAAAATGAGGGGGTTGGACTGGATGACCTCTAAGATCCCTTCCAACTCTGATTCTGTTACCATATGATCTTAAAGGTCCCTCCTCCTCTTCCTCTTCCTCTCCCAAGTCCCTCCTCAACCTAGGGTAGAACGGTTGGCCCATCTCCAGGGCTGCAGTGGGAATGTCTTGTTTCTGAAATTGGTGATGTTTGAGGATGTGGCTGTATACCTCACCCAGGAGGAGTGGGGCCTTTGGGGCCCTGCTTGGAGGGGCCTCTACAGGGATGTGTTGCTGGAGAATTATGGCAATGTGGTCTAGCTGGGTAAGGCCTCTTCCTAGTAATCATGTCTGACCTTCTTGGCTTCCTGTTTTGTGAACAGCTAGTAGGGGTCTAAGGGCTTGGAATTAAGATTCAGGGATGTGTGATTTCTAATCCTGTCAAGGCTTAGACACAGGACATATCTGCTCCCTGGTCCTTGTTTACAGGCCTGATCTGTACAGTGTTGGAAATGAACATCATCGTTGAGTTCCCACTGAATCCAAGTCTTCCTCCTGTAGAAAGTTTGGCCTTACTGCTCCGTGCCCAGCTCTCTCTTTAAAGGACAAGTGCAGATTTTCCCTAAAGTGGGAGTTTCCTACCTTCCCCCAGGGGTGGGACCTTATGAGATTACTATTCCTTGTGGCCAGGTTACCAACACCTCGATTATCTTTGCCACCAATCTGAGGAATGAGGGAGAGGAACAGACCTGAAGTGCTTCTAGACGGTGCATGGATAGTCCGTAGGCCTTCCTACTACTATCTCTCTGCGTTTTGCCTTTGTCCTCCCATCAGCCCTCCTCAGCCCCTGAGGCTAAGACTGACCCCTGTGTACCTAGCCTCACAGACATTCACCAATTTAGAGCTAGATGGGGCCTTTGAATTCCTTCAGGCTAACTGCTTGTTTTACAAGTGAAAAAACTGAGGCCTGGAGAGAAGTGACTTAGCCCAGGTCACACAGCAAGTAAGTGGCAGAGGTGAGACTTGAACGCACATTTGAAAAACAAATTTGAAAAATAAAGCCCATAATACATAGCTATAGTTCAGAAAAATAGATGCCTCAATTGGCCATGTCTGAAAATGGATGTCTCTTTCTGTATTTAAGTTGTTCAATTCTCTATCAGAAGGTAGGTGAGCATCGAGTTTGATGGTTATTCTTTTGGACTCATGGTTTACCAAAGGCTGAATGGCTACTTGTTGGGAATGATATAAAGGGAATTTGTTTTCAGGTATGTGTTTGTTGAAGAAGAACATTGATACTTTAATCTATGTTTTAGGCACAAGTCTGGCAGAAACAATTTTTATTAATTTATCATTCATCTAAATTCATACATTTCAGTTTAGAGAGATCTATCCAACCAGGAAGAGCTGCCTAGTGCCTTTGGATATGATAAGGCCTGATCAGTCAACTTTTCCTTCTTTCTTCTGGTTTTATTTATATTGGGAACATCAAGATTGCTATGATTCAGCTTCTCCAGCATTGGTAGCTGCATAAGGATCTCATTTAGTGTAACAGTAATCAAATTAAAATTTACTGACAGTCTGGAAATGGTGTGATTCCTAGTTTTCTCTGTCTCTTTTTCCCTAACTCTGCTACCATAATTGCAGAAGTGGAAGAGGACCACCCAGTTCTGAAATTTTTATTATATGTTTACCAGGGCCAAAAATTTCATCCCCAAGTGACCAACACGTTTTTGATGTGCTTCTCCAAAGTTAATTAGGCTGGTCCTCAGAAAACAGACTCAGTCTGTTGCCAGGGCCGAATTTGAAGCCTTTCCAGTAGTTTAGAAATTGTCAGAGCTTACACTGTCATAGCCTTTAAGAATTCAGCGTCACCTCTCCACAGAGAGGGATTTTGTAGAGGTTCCTCCTCACTTATAGGCTAAAATATAAACTTCTTTGCCTAGCATTGAAGGCTCCCACAATCTTACTCCAAACTATCTTTCTAATCTCATTTCTCATGACATTGTAAATGATGCTTTCCTTCATACTGTTCCTTGAGCTTAATCTGCATGCATGCACATCCATGTCCATAGGCTATTCCCCCATCCCTGGAGTGTATTTCTTCCTTATTTTGAATTTATTGAAATGCAAAAAACATGAACTGTGGAGTCAGAGGCCCTGAGTTCAAAGATCAACCTCCAATAATTATTACCTCTGTGACCTTGAAAAAGTCACTTAACTTCCCAGAGCCTCAGTTTCCTCATCTGTAAAATGAGGTGGGAGGTGGACTAGATGGTCTCCGAGGTCCCTTCTCACTCTAGATCTCTGATTCTCTGATTTTCCTTTAAGACTGTTAAAAATGGATTTTTTAAGAGCCAAGAGTCGTCTGTTAAGACTTGACATAACTTACTCCATTTTGTTCTGTGTTTGCCATTTTGTTATGGATGACCCCTACGTGAACTGTGGGAACAGCTTACAACAGCTGGTTTCCTTCAGTATCTTCTTTCCTCCCCTAATTGCTACAGAATACGTAAGTGCTACAAAGGAGGACCTCAACAGCCAAAGGATATATGCTCCCCTTCTTTATCTTATCTCACAAGTGATGTATGGTTCCCTTTGACTTAATGCAGCTGGCTATATTAACAAGAACACATTCCTTCTCTATCTCTTGTAACTAGTGATATATATTTTCCTTAATGAGCATGCCCTTTTTGCTGTGTATAACCAGCTGCACTCTAACAGGTAGCCATTTTTTCCCTCTTTTGTTTCATGTAAAGTATAAATATTATTTCTCACATTGTAAGGAATACACATGTCCACCAACTGCTGGTGGAGTGCATCTCACTCTGAGTAAATGAAAACTTTACTGTCCCTTATCTCTGACTTGTGCTGGCTTACTGGCAGAAGCTAGTCAAATGAACCAAAAGAAAATTCATACAACCAGGCCAAATTCAGGGTGCATCTCATCCATGCAGTCTTTCCTGATTTCTCTAGCTCAGTGTAATCTCTCCCTCCTCAGATTTTTTTTTTTTTGGTGAGGCAATTGGGGTTAAGTTACTTGCCCAGGATCACACAGCTAGTAAGTGTTAAGTGTCTAAAGCCAGATTTGAAGTCAGGTCATCCTGACTCCAGGGCCGGTGCTCTATTCACTGCACCACCTAGCTGCCCCTACTCCTCAGATTTTTGAAGAGTGTTTTGTATCTCCTTTGCCCCTTCCATGTTCTGTGTTGAATCATGCTCATATCTGATAGCTCTCATATTGTCAGGTTCTTGAGGGTAGAATGTGGGTTATTTTTCATCTTTTTATCCTGGATCTGTCCTAGATCTGATTCTCAGCAATGAGGAGGAACTCATTGTTGGGGTGGAAATGGTGGGAACCTGGGAGTTTGTTGGGGGGAAGGCGGGATGAGAGAAGTGATCATTTTGCGTCATAATTTGTGACCAAAAAAGTAAGAGAAAGCTAGGTGTAGTCTGACATGTATCCTAGATTTTAGGAGAACAGATTTTAAAGAATTAAAGAAAGAATATACAGAAGTTAGTATAGGAGAAATAGGAAGCTTTCAAAAGTGGAATTCTTAAAAAACAAAAACAAAACCCAACAACAACAAACAGAGAAATAATTCTGATGAGGAAGAAAAGTATGAGTTGTCTGAAGAGAACAATGTGGTTGCTGAGAGAACTCATCAACTAACTTAGATTTTTAAATGATATACAGAATAGTGAAGAAAAGGCAGTTACAGAGGAACACAAAAGCATGGCAAAAAGCTAAGAACAGAAAAGAAAGGACATTTGTGTTTTTAAAATATATTTGTGTGAAAAAGAAGCATCATTGAGTAGTAGCAGACTTTGAAGTAGGAAGACTTGGGTTCAGACCCTGGCTATAACACATACTCTGAATCAGTTAACTTCTCAGTGCCCTAGACAATGCTGCAAGACCACAAGTTCCAAATGAGTGGCTAATATGCTTCGGTAAAGGGAGCATCTACGTTGGAAGTTCCCCCCATGGATAAAATCATGGATCTAAAGCAAAAAACAAAACAAAACAAAACAACAAATAAAAAGAGAAAGACAAAAGAAGGTGTAGGACCACTGCTTGGAGTGGAAGGTCTGAAAGTAATGGACTGGATTGCTCTATTCATTTTTCTTCTAGTTTTTTTTTCTGCCAAGGAGAATGATCTTTGGATTGGAAAGGATAGGAAAAAATGGCTAAAGTATGTTAAAACTCAAGATAAGTAGGAGAAAATCTTATTGCCATTGATGAATTCACATCACCAGGCCCTCTATGAGCTACATTGTAGGGTCATAAAAGAAATAACCAAGCTATTGTCATTGATCTGCCGCCTCATCTCCATGCTGTTCCATGTGCCTGGACTACACGCCTTTCTTACCTCTAACTCTTAGTAGAATTCTTAGATTGTGTCAAAACTAGGTTTATGTACCACTTCCTACAGGAGGCTCATCTAGTTGTCAGTGTTCCTTTCTTCCTTGAGTTGTTACATATACACATATCTGTTTACATAAACTTCTTGAGTGAGACTGTTAAAAAAATTTTTTGTTTTTGTATTTCCAGTACCTGGCACAATGTCTTCTTACACTAGTTTTAATAAGTATTTCTTGGATTAGAT